TGCATCGGAGCTGGTGCCTGCAGCGCCCTTGGGAACGACCCTGCCCTTCTTCATCCCTTTCCTGCCCACACATCCTTCTGCTTCGCTGATATGGCAGACAATCAGAGAATCAGATCCTCAAGGATCATCTGTTCCAACCTTTCTTGGCAAAAGCCTGGTCTAGGCAAGATGGCCCAGCACCCTGTCCAGCCAAATCTTAGAGGTGTCCAATGTCTGGGACTCCACCACTTCTCTGGGGATATTTTTCCAATGGCTGATTGTTCTCACGAAAAACTTTCGTTTTGTAGAATCATAGAATCCTTTAGGTTGGAAGAGACCTTTAAGGTCATCACATCCAACCATCAAACCAACACTACTAAGTCCTCTGCTAAAACAGAATCAGACTACTGTCTCTAACTGGAATCTCCAGGAGTGACTTGTACCCATTACCCGTTGTCTTTTTCACGTAACTCCATCTTCTTTGTAGCCACACTTTAACTACCAGAACATGGTGATGAAACAGAGAATGAGAAGACTAAAGTCCTTGTCTACTGTGTGTCTAATTCCACTGTGTTTGGGGACTGGTTTTGCAGTCTCAGGAACCAGTGTTGCTTTCAGGAGCTGTACCAAGCTGGCAAGTGGCTTGGGACAGACAGGGCAATCATCTGTTCCTGTAAGAAGAGCTGAGCTACCCCCATGGCCCAGCCTGTGCCGATCACAAACCCTCAGTGTGAGGTGCAGGAGAACTGCTCCGACTGTGCCCAGGTGCTGTGTGGTGCCCACCAAGAGACTGAGCTTCTCACTGGATCTGTTTTCTATCAAGATCGGCTCTTAGAAACTGAATGGTGTCTTGTGCTTGGAACATCATGTCCAGGAGCAACGGAGGTGACAAAGACAGGCTGAGCTGGAAGCCTTTGTCCCACAGGCTCTGCTTTTCACAGCCCTCTGACTAGCCAAGGAGATCTCTGTCCTGACAGGTCATAGTCTCCATCCATCCAAAACATTTACCAAGAACCAATAGATCAGGGGTTCCTCTTTGTGCTTCTCAGCTCAGGCTCCTGGGGGGCTGTTACCAGAGCAGCAGGTCAGTTTTCAGTTTTTGTCCCCACAACTTCCCTCTCCCAGACCATCCCTGCTCCGTGTTGCTGTAGGGCTTTGCAAAGTGGGGCTGCACACCATGAGCTACTTGCGTGACTATGGAGCCCACTACATCTGTGCTGGGGAGACAGACAGGGCCCATTTACAATCCCAGCGGGGTCAACTCAGAGGAGGTAGAAGACCATGAGTAGGTGAGTTGAGCCCAATCAACCCAGCCCCTGTTCTTAGGGGGGGTTGGTCAGTGCTTGTCCTGAAACGCCCAGAGAGAAGGGGGCTGCCCCTCATCTCCTGCAGAGCCCATCTCCGAGGCTGATGCTCAATACTGCCAGTTCAGGCCTAGTAGGACTCTCCTGATCATTCCAGGGCCATGACACCATAGTTGGCATCCCAAAAGCAGAAGCCTATGATGGCAGCGTCCTGGAGATGCCCTGTGACATCCTCATCCCTGCTACTATTGGAAAGCAGCTCAGAAGGAGAACCCTCCCCCCTGGGTGCGGGCAAGGGAAGGGCACGCTGGCACCATGCACTGGCAGCACCCTGCCAGCTCCCTGCTGGCTCCCTGCTGGCACCCTGCTGGCACCCTGCTGGCACCCTGCTGGCACCCTGCCTCTCTGCGTGAGCAGCAGCCATTCCACCCAGCCCGCCAGCCTTCCCTCGTGGTGCCCAGCACCCCGGGGAGGGCTCATGCACCCGCCCACTGTGCCAGGGGGACAGGGTGAGGCATCCAGTCACCTCCTTCAGCAGTGGAGGAAAGCCCAAGCCCTGCCCTTTGCTGGCAGGGAGCAGGAATCGTTGGAGTGACCTTGGCTGGCTCTTCTGGCTCTTCAGTCTTCATTGCTGTATCAGATCCTGCCCCCGGCAGAGGAGACGATACCTCGAAAGCACTGGGTGTCACAGTGTTGACACTAAAAATCACAGGCAGCAGATAAGAGTGAGCAAAGCAGGGGACTGACAAATCCCAGCTTCCTCCCTTCACTGTGAGCTCTAGGACCGAAGGGTCAGAGCATGCGGGGACCCGGGGCTGTCACAGCCAAGGTCTTTTGCAGCCTGAGCCCTTAATCGTTCTGTGTGAAACATGAGGGCTTTTGCTCATCCTGAACAGCTCGTGGGAAGGTGACTGACCAGACCCCTGCCACCATGTGTCTGGAGGGCAGGGGGGGTCCCAGCAGCAGGGAACACAGCCTGTCACCAGTTTCCTCTTTCCTATCTTCTGCCTATGTCACCTCTGCTCTGCTTGTGCTCTCAGATCATTGCAGAAGCTGCCAATGGCCTCACCACACCAGCAGCACACGAGATACTCCTGCGAAGAAATATCCTGGCCATGCCAGTATGTGCATCCCAACACAGGCAGAGGGTGGTGGGCTCTTGGCTGTTATGGCCAGGTGGTGGTGTCAGCTGCACCACTGTGGATCCAGTCAGGCTCTGCCAGGCTCTGCCACCAGGCAGTGTTGATGGTGCTGTCTCAGTCATCATGTTCCCTGCCTTGCCTCCAGCATCTGAGCACATCTCAGGTGCTGGTTTCCCTTCTGAACCCTCCTGCTTCTTGGCTGCAGCAGCAATAGGCCGCGGGGCTCCTGGCCAGCACTGGGGTGTCCTGCAGCTGCTGATGGGCCAGCAGCAAACCCTGCCACACCACACAGGGGGTCAGAGCAGCTGGTGTCTCTGCTCTGAGGCAGTGAAAGCCACCATGGCTCCAGGATTTGGCCATCCCCCTACCCTCAGGACTGTCTCTGAAGGCAGAGCCCAAGGGTATGAGGAGGGACACAAAGCAGAGGAGGAGAGATCCTCAAATGGGTCATGGTTCTCAGGGTCACCCTAAACAGCAAATCTGAAGCATGTACTGCCCTTGGCAGGATGTGTACATGAATGCAGGTGGTGTGGCCATATCCTTCTTTGAGTGGGTGAAGAACCTGAACCGTGTTAGCTACGGCCACCTCAGCTTCAAGTGCGAGTGGGAATCCAGCTACAACTTCCTGCGGTCAGTGCAGCACAGCCTGGAACGGTGTTTTGGCAAGGCTAGAGGGGAGATCCCCATCATCCCATCCCCAGAGTTCCAGGCCTGCATGACTGTAAGTGCCTACAACCATGGAGGGTTGTCCTGGCTCACTTGCTTCTCATTCCCAGACACTCCTGTCTGCTATCCCAGTGCTGAAAGCTGAGCTTGTCGCACATCCAGAGCCCTCCCATGCTGTCATCTGGCTGGCGGAGGGGATGGAGTGGAGATGTGTGTTGTGGCACTGCCTTGCCATCTGAGGGGGCTGCAGGGAGTCCCTTGGGAGCAGAGCTGGGTGCTGGAGCCAGCTGCAGATGTGGCAAGCCAAGCTTAGACCACCTGTGGTGGTCCTGCACCGAGCAGAGGGGCTGTGCTTGATAAATAGGGGGGGGAGGGGGGGCAGCCTGTAGCCTCTTCCAATAAATATTCATGTCTTCTCCCCCTCAGAGTGCCTCAGAGAAGGACATTGTGTATCTGGTACTGGCTTACAGCATAGAGCAGGCAGCCAAGTTGCCTCCAGGGGCTCCTGGCCTCGCCCATCCCTGCTGTAAGGTCCCTTGCCCCACTGCAGAGGCTCTGGGCTGTGTTTGAAGGGTGCCTCAACAGCATCCCATCGCCACTCCCAACAGGCCAGCACGAGGCCTGGGTGCTTCAGTGGTGGCCACATCCATACTCTGGGTAATGCCTCGTGCTCAGCAGCACCCCTCAGTGCTGCTGGGTCCATATCCCTCTCTCCGACCCCCCAGACCTGCATTCCCACAGGGAACTCCTGGCAGTGCTGTGGGGCAGCAGCAGGGCAGCATCTCCAGACATGCTCATAGGTGGCTCCAGGTCTTACTGAGCAGTCCATGTGGTATGGGGTGACCTCTTCCCCTTGGGTGCTCCCGGAGCCTGGCCCGGGGCTCGCAGGTGTGGTGTTGTCTGCACCCTCCTCGCCAGCTCCTCTGCCCCAGACCCTCCCAGCACACACCAGCCCCACAGCTCTCCTCTCTCTAGCAAATTACAACCATGGCTGCGAGGTACAACCTGGGCCTGGACCAGAGAACCCCTACCTCTGTATATACAGAGTACACCTCCATGTGCTCTGGAGAAGCTCTTCACTGTGTCCAACAAGGCTGGTGTCACCTACACCCAGCAGGGCTGCCGCAGGTGTCAGGGTGGGGGTCACAGTCCTGCTGCATGGGGGTGCCTGGGACACTGCATGCTCCACAAGGGGGACACCCTGGTGTCTATCAGTGGTTGGGTTTAGCACGATCTTTCCCTGCTGTCTGGCTCTCAGCTCTCCTGAGGAGGGGGTTGTCTTTCTCCACACCCCCTCTGCCCCAGCCCATTTACAGCCTCCTGGGCACTGGAGGAAGCCTGTGCTCATGCCGGTTCAGGTCTTCTTGCCGATGGTTGGCAGAATTGGGCAAGGGAAGGAAAAAATGCAAGCAGCTGTGTGGGAGGGGACAGCCCAGGGCACAGCCAGCCCCAGGAACAGCCGCACGGGTCTGTTTAAAACGCACGGTGGGCGCTGCAAGCGCTGCTGCAGCCAGTGCAGGCACAGGGAGCAGCGCCAGGGCAGGGATCTGCAGGCATCAGCAAACCTGTTGTGTGTCCATGCTGACTGCTGCAGCTTTGCTCTTTGCAGACAAAGCTGGAGAGCCGGCACGGTGGGGGATTTGATAGGATGTTCATCACGGTGGGGAGTCTCAGCCCAGGCTCTCACCCCAGCCTGTGCTGCAGCCAAGGGGCCGGAGGCTGGCTGGGGACCCAGGCTGGGCTGGTGACACTGCCCTCGAGGAGCTGAAGGCCCAAGGGCTGCACTCAGGGGGGTCACAGGACCCCCTGTTGCAGTGGACATGGGTTAGTGATGTGTGGCAGCCACTTGCCCTTGACGTGGTTGTACTGCAGCTGAGCAAGTGGTGGGTGCCAGCCATGTCCCCATGCCCCTGAGCAGAGCGTGGACAGCAGAGGAGAGGCTCCCCTTCACTCTGCGCTTCTAGCACAAGGTCAGGGTGCATCTCTAGGAGGTACCTGACAAACAGCAGTGCATCCTGCTGCAGGGATGACTAGGGGAAGCAACTGATCCCCCTCTACTAGCGTAGAAGATGTCTCCTGGGTAAGCACCAGCACTTGAGCTCAGGACTATATCCAGCCTCATCCTGCCTCGGGGTCCTCAGCCCCAAAGGGGCCTCTGCATTCACCTGCAGCCAGTGCACAGGCAGGTGGCACAGGGATGCTGCCTGCACCCCAGGCCTCGGCCAGAGTGTGGCTGGAGGCCCAGGGCATGGTGACCTGTTGCTAACACATCAGTGAGCTGACAGGAGGGCATCTTGTCCTTATGAGGGCCCAGATCACAGAATCCCAGCAAGGCTGGGGTTGGAAGAGATCTCTGGAAATCACCAAGTCCAACCCACCTGCTCCAGCAGGGTCACTCAGAGCAGGCTGCACAGGATCACATCCAGGCAGGTTTTGAAACTCCTCAGAGAAGGTAACTCCACAATGTTTCTGGGCAGCCTGTTCCAGGGCTCCCTCACAGGAGAAGTTATCGTTCATGTTCAGTCCAGCCTGCTGCCCCAGCTTGGAAGGGGTCAGCCAGTCTGTGCCAGCCCCTCATTCATCTTCCCAAAACTACCCCTGCCACCAAAGCACAGGACCACCCGTCTCCCCAGGGAACCCACAACCAGGACCAAGGGGCTACAGACAAGAGTTGGCTTTATTCACGGACACGGGGGCAGCTGTGTCACTGGCAGCTGCC